TGAGTGGGAGCAGACCTATGTAAGGGCTTTATTCAGCATCACTGACGTTTGTGGAAACTTCATCTTCTAACCTCTGTGGACGCAGGATAAGTCCCTCCACTTACACCTATTGTGAGGGACAGCTATATATTAGTTGTCCAGCTGGCAGCAGAAATGACATCGTTTGGAAGTGTTGGGCAAAGACTATTAATACTGTACTTATGGAAGTCTACAAGCCATTAAAAGGAAGATTTGGAAGAGAAGCACTGCTACTGCAAGTGCAGCAATAGACAACCCTTCTAATACACCTCTCTCCCACAACCTTCTCCCATTAAATCTGTTCAGTTGAGCTTCGTGCAGCAAGTTCAAAGTCACCCATGATAGCATGATTTGCACCTTTACGGTATTGACAGAGTCATGCAGGCTTGACTATTGTACCCACTGTCACTGCCACAATAAATTGGCATACCTCTGTGAGGAACTGGGACTCAGAAGTGTGACAGGTTGTAACATTAACAGGTGCAATTTGCTGTTTAACAGTATAAATCTATCAGTATCTTTTGTTGAGATCACCTCTGCAATAACAAAATACAGACTTGCTCTTTGAGGTTGGAACATTTCCAAAATTGAACTTCATCCAAATAATCCTCTCTGTGGCTTTTATCCAAACATCCTAACACTGTGCAGTGAGGAGATGGCTCCTGTATGCTCTTCCTTGTTGTACTCCTCTAATGTGTGTTTTCAGGGACCTTGAAGGTGTCTGGCTTGGCTTCAAGCTCTGGTTTCTTGAAACAATTTGTAATTGTAGTGTTTGCAACTACAAAAATGGCTTATAAATGGACCCTGCAATTTTCAGAGCATTTTTGTAAACTTGACTTGGAACATACAAGCCAAGAATAGTTCTTAGGAGAGGTGTCTTCAGAAAAGCCAAGTCCTTTTAATTAAGCATTCCTGTATGTAATAAATATAATGAATAATCAACTGTAAAGCAAAAATATTCTAAGAATTGCAGTGATTGATTAAGCATACTGTTTTCAACTTCCCATGTATAAATGAATGGGTAAATGAAAAAAATATACAGATTGCAGTTGCAAAATACAAAAAAGTGACATATGAGTGATGAAAGCAGGCTACCAGTAGAGTAATGCTTTTCATTAAGGAACTGCCTGCATATTCATTAGAGCTAGTCGATTACTTAAAAAATATATTCATCAGATAATTTATTTGATGAATTTTACCATTTTTTGTCAAATAATTTATTCAACAAAAAAGTAAAATTAATGGAATAGTTCATTCATCAAATCTTATTGGACAGCTCTAATACTTATTCAGTTCTGTACATTTAGGTTGATTCAGGATTAGTAATACTGCTGCAATCAATGCAGAAAAATTTCCTGGCAAA